TTCGTACCGAGCCTTCACAGCGAGGCTAGACACTCTCGCGAGACAGCAGTGTGCAAAATGGACGTCGCCAATCAGTCAGCGATACATTGCAAATCAGCCGGTTAACTACTTCATTAGTGCCAGAGTCTGCAGCTCGAGTCACTGAAGACACGTCCGATTCCGACTTCATTGCTTGCAGCCTTGAGGGGCGGAGCGTGTGCGAGTGCTGTGTTAAGGCACGGCTCGTCATGAAGTGACCGCGCAAGTAGCAAGCAGAGCAGCAGGTCGATCCCTCGCAAAGCGTGGACGTTAAGTTTCACCTCAGACAGTATCCTCCCGCTGCGTGTGAATGAAATGTTGTTGTTGTTGTTGTTGTTGTTGGTGGTGGTGGTGGTGGTGGTGGTGGTGGTGGTGGTGGTGGTGGTGGTGTTGTTGTTGGTGCTGTTGTTGGTGTTGTTGTTGGTGTTGTTGTTGTTGTTGTTGTTGGTGGTGGTGGTGGTGTTGTTGTTGGTGTTGTTGTTGGTGTTGTTGTTGGTGTTGTTGTTGGTGTTGTTGTTGTTGTTGTTGGTGGTGGTGGTGGTGGTGGTGGTGGTGGTGTTGTTGTTGTTTTTGTTGGTGGTGTTGTTGTTGGTGTTGGTTGTTGTTGTTGTTGTTGGTACAGACAAAAGCAGCAGCCCGTAATTGTTGTTAACAAGAAGCAATTGGGAATGCTTCCGGACACCTCATAGGGTGTATGTAGAGTTTTGGGGAATGCAAGCCATGGTGTACACAGCAACTGCTCGTGATAGAAATGTGGGCTGGGTGGTTGTTGTAAAGGGTGGGGGTCAAAGCAACAGACGGGGCTCCAGTTTTTGTCTCTACCACAAAGTAGAGAGAAAAAGTCCTGATTTGGGACTTCGTCTCTACCCCGTCTGTTGTTTTGACCCCCCCCCCCCCGTTGACAACAGTTTACGACAAGCGCCCACAGTACATATGGGAATCTGCGAAATCCAAAGGGGTTCTCATGGGTTTTGAAAGGGCTTGTCTGGAATTTTGAAGGGTTTGCACTAGATATCGAACGGTTCAAAAAGGATTTGAGGGGAGATTGACATGCTTTCTGTGATATTGAAGGGCTTGATGCACGTCTGCTGCTTTGACTTTGGTCCCAGGCATGTCTGATGCTTCGGACATACGCGCACAAAATCTTTGCAAAACCACACAAAATCCATGGACTTACATACAAAATCGACACAAAAACCTTGCAAATACACAAAACCCACGGAAATACGCACAGAACCCATGCAAATACACACAAGCGTCTTGCAAACACACACACACACACACACACAAAAAATCGATGGAAAGACGCTGAGAATACATTGAAACATCCTTCGCAAACCATTCAATTCCTATTCACCATAGGCACTGTGTTGTTGTTGGGGTAAAACAACATGACGGGGCTCCTGTTCTTGTCTCTACCTAATGTACAGACAAAAAGCATTATATATACAGTAGGCGCCGGAAAGTTGGAAGGCGGCAATTGGAACGGTTGATGCGGCAACGGCATCTTCCAACTTTGGGTTTGACTTGGTCCCATCTTCCAACTTTAGGTCCCGGCGTTTGGACCGGTTGATGCGGTAAGGGTATCTTCCAACTTTCGGTTTGCGGGAAGCAGCTCCAGTAATGCAGAAAGATTGACCGCTCCAGTATGGTGCTGAGAGAGGGAAACGGCAATTACTACGACCACTCCAATATTGCAGAGAGAGAGAGAGAGAGAGAGAAACTGCAAGTACTGCGACCGCTCCAATATTGCAGAAAGAGAGAACCTGAAATTACTACGACCGCTCCAGTATCAGAGAGAGAGAGAGAGAGAGAGAAAAAAACTGCCAGTATTACGACCACTGCAGTATTGCAGAGAGAGAAAATCTGCAAATACTACGACCGCTCCAGTATTGCACAGCGAGAAAAACTGCAAATACTACGACGACTCCATTTTTGCAGAGAGAGAAAATTGCCAATCTGAGGACCGCTCCAGTGTTGCCCAATTACTACGACCGCTCCAATATTGCAGAAAGAGAGAGCCTGCAAATACCATGGCCGCTCCAGTATGGCAAAGGGAGAAAAACTGCAATTACTCCAGTACTGTAGAGAGAGAGACGGAGAAACTGCAATTAAATATTGGGTCTGCTAGGTCCCACCTTCCAACTTTAGGGCCCGGCATTTGGAGCGGTTCATGCGGTAATCAAAAGTTGGAAGGTTGCAAACTTGGAATTGGAAGAATCCAAAGTTGGAAGATGTGTTTTATATTGTGGGGTGCTGAAATTTTGGGTGCGCATCTTCCAACTTTGCGGCTGCCACCATATATATATATATATATATATATATATATATAGGGGTGACGGGGCTGCAGTTTTTGCTTGTACCTTGTTCTTGTTGTTGTTGATGCGCTTCGAGCACACTCCGTCCCTATAGCTGAGCTTGGCGGCATTCCCGCAGTGTTCACTTCTGAACCACGAAAGCAAACGCACCGATCTCTTTTTCTTGTTATCTAACAGGCGTGGTCCTCGCTACCATTCTGAACGAAGCGGTCCGTTGGGACATGGTTGCAGCCGAAACCCTATCAGGTGGGACGTTGAAACGGGTTCAAGCCGTTGCAGTGTTAATCAACAGACGTGCGTTTAAGCATAAGTGGCTTGACAATCAACTGCGGCTACGCAGCCTCTGTGCTTTATCAGTCTCGCGCGTCGAGTGCCAAAGGGATGTCATTCCACCGCCGCATGTCCTTTGTTTGCAAGGTGAAGAAGATTCCGAGGGCGTTCAAGACTCGAGTTGGCATCATGCGGATCCTGAGAGGCCGCTGCAACCCGTCTTTGTTTCTTCAGCACGGAAGCTAGCCTCTGGGGCTAGCGAAGTTTCGTAGCAACCGAAGGTTGCAATCAGAGCTGTTGGGAAGGGCACCCCTGCGGATGGGCAATTTGGGCTTCCAGACCCCACCTGAATCTGGATTTGGCCGACAACATCAAAAGCATCAACAACAACGGTAACTCTCCCAGTGATGCTCATGCGCTCACTTACAGGCTCCGATTGGGCACCCAATGATGCTGGCGATGCTCGCTTAGTGAATTTGTGGCTCGAATTGGAGCCCAATAATACTCATGATGGTCGCCTACCGGTTTCTCGTCCGAGGCTTTATTGCTTCATATGCATGCTTAGGTCATCGCAAAAGTGTCTTGCGACCATCGGAAGCACGCGGGTCTACTTTCATTGGCGTTTGCGCTCACGCATCACAGGGGGCACGCTTTATGGGTCAGAATTTGCTGCGGGCATCGGATCGGCATGTGTATGTTGTGAGATCACACATACCATTTGTTCCAGACATCGGCATGTGAATGTGGTGCGCTCGCACAGCACGGCAAGTGTGGCTCGTCTGTTGTGAGACCGCACAATACGGGATGCGATTTGGTTCGATATGTGCAGGTTGACGGGGTACTTCTTTTTCGCCGTAGGTCCGTTCTGCGCTCACACATCACGGATGTGTTTGGGTTACGGGCAACGGCTCGGGAGGGCAGGCACCGGGGCGATTGTCGCCAGGAGTTTCCTGCATTGCAATCTCCACCTGCGAAGCTGAGATCGTACTAGGCTCCCTCGGAGAACCAAGTCCGAAGCCCTCGAGCTGAAACGCGGAAGGATGTTGAGCCTCCTGAGCAAGAATTGCATTTCTTGCATCAGCATATGTGTGTGGCTTGACTTGAGATCACGGGGTAGGCTTTCTGACGGGGTGCAATGTGTGTGTATGTTGTGAGATAACTCACATGGGGGTATGATTTTTTCCGGGCATCGGCGTTTGTTGGGGTGTGCTCGCCCATCACAGGGAGTGTAGTGTGTAGCTTGTCGGTTGTTAGACCACACATGACAAGGGGTGCGAGTTGTCTCTATACGTGGAGGTTGACGGGGTACGTTTTGTTTCCCGGGCATCGGCACGTGCATGTGGCGCGATCACGCATCACAAGGGGGCTACGACTTGTCGCGCGCATCGGGGTCTGCGTGTGGTGAGGTCACACATCACAGCACGTTTTTCTATCTGCATCGGCTTGCGCACGGCGTACATAGGGTTTGTTGGAAGCATCGCCCGTGTGTACGACTGCAAATGCAGGGGGTGCGATCTGTTGCGGGAATCCTATCGGCGTGTGTCTCTGTGATCTCAGTCGCAGGGGGTACGGTTTGTTGTAGTTCTCATCACAGCTCACAGGAGCGGCATAGGCATGATTTGATCACAGAATATCACACATCACAGCAGGTACAGGTGTGAGGGGCATCGGCCTGTGTCTGTAGACGAGATCGCACATCACAGGGAGGATGTAATGTTTTGATACATGCATCGACATATGAATGTGGTGGGATTGCCATTGCACAGCGCAGGGGGTTCGTTTCTTTTACGTGCATCGGCGTGTGCATGTTATGTGATCACTCATGACCGCTTCCTGCTTGCGTTGCCGTATGTTATGTGTGTGGTTTGACTTGAGATCACGCCTCATGGTGGGCACGATTTGTTCCGGACGTCGGCATTTGGATGTTACAGGCATTAGCGCGTGCTGTTTGTAAGATCAAATCACAGGAGTACGACCTGTTCCGGGAATCGGCGGCTGAATTTCGTGAGATCACGCAGCGCAACAATTGTTGCGGCTATCGACATCGGCGTGCTCATGCTGTGAGATTACTCGTCGCCGGGTGTGGATTCGAAAATTGAAAGGACATCGACCCGGGCAAAAGAAAAGCTCCGATGCTGCGTTTTTGCGACTACAAGTCTGCAGTCTTCGCTAGTTGCCCTAGCTAGCGTCCCAGCCCTTCCTCCCCAAGTTCTGAAAAATCGAGGGTTCTTCATAGCGGCGTGCATGTCGCGGCACTCCCTTGATGATATCCTGTGCAAGTCGAGTGCCTACAGTGCCTAATTACAGTCCATCTCTCGCGAGCATGTGGGGTGCCCGAAACTGTCCTTACCTTCACAGCTTTCTCGGCCTCAGGACGGACGTTTCGAGGTCTGAATGCCGCGCGACCCTGCTCCTGGTGCTGTTGGTGCTCTGTGGCGGTGCTACTGGGATGAATATGATGTCGGGCATCACGCTCGCGACGATGATGAGGAGGAGGAGGATGAATACAGTGACAGGGTGAACACTCTTATCATCGGCACCTCCACTCCGCCCGTGCCGTGACACTGTCTCCGCCTCTACATCCGCATCACCATGGTCAGAATGCCCAGAGCCTCGCTGGAAGCGGTTGAAAATCATTTAAATTTCTGTTGGCTACAGCATACACGACAAGGGCAAGGGATTAAGGCCTGCCTGCAGGCTTGTTTCCGCTTCGCGGTTCGATAAGCTTTTATGTCGAAATCGTGGCACGACGTACCTTTGGCCGATTATTTTCTATTTCTGGTCCAGAACCACTCTGAAGCGACTGGGCAGCTCTAGGTGCGTCGCTATCCGGCTTTATTCGGCTCTAATGCTTCGTCATTCGACTCCGGCAGACTTGAAGGAGCCTGGTTTCGGGGTGTCGCCTTTCGGAAGTTTTCTTTGGCTCCCGCATGGCAGTCCCGAAGGCCTACATGGGAGGTATTGTCTTTTGGTCGTCGGTGGATTAGCCTTGGGGGGGCGTGGTGGCAAGCCAGCTTGAGCGCAGTTGGAAGCCGATGTGAAAACCTTCGGGTGAAACACTCGGGAAAACATGACCCCGACTGAGAGCTCAGTTGAGGCTCTAACCTTCCACAAATCGGCGGAAACTTCAGCAATGTGTGAGCCGTCCAGTCGCCTTGGGCATACCTCGTTGCCGCCTGAGAGAAGGAGAGAAAGGAGGAAAGTAAGCTAGCCGTCATGAGATGTCTTCCTTTGAACTCCCGAGCGCCCGAAGCGTTTCGCTTTGGCAGAACGAGAAGTGCTCGAAGAGCAACATGTACGATGCGATTTGCTTCTTGGTGGCAGTTGTCAGTTGGTGCCCTGGGTATGGGTTGTCTCTGACCTCGTCGCAATGTGCCCGTTACGTTCATGTTCAAAACTTGCGGGGCCATGGGTATGATTTTGACAGGCTCAGCGATTGACACCTCTGGATTTCCTTTCTCCTTTCGACTAAGAACCCTGGCACAACGCCCATCCAAGCGTGTGAAGCGAGCGACGTGACCCTGCAGACTCTTGGCTGATCGTGCTGCTGAGTTGGGAGGTAGGATGGCAATTCCCCCCCGAAAATGCCATGCCTAAGGCAGGCAGAAGCGCTCTGCAGAGCAAACGACTTCCTACAGAACGACGTCTTCCCACCTCGCTATGAGGACTGGCGCTCGGAGTTGGAGCTCAAACGGTGCATCTATGTATATATGATACCGGTTTGGCCGCCCCCCCCTCCCCCCCCCAATGGTTCCTCCTCCCCCCTGTAATGTGGTTGTGGGTTGCTTCCCCCCCCCCCCTGTGGTGTGGTGTGGTTTGGGTTTCCTGCGTGGGTTTGCTTGGCGTGTGAGCCCTCGTGTGGAAAAAAGCTTGCACAGTCACACAGATTCGGCTGGGGAGCGTGGGGGGGGGGGGGGTCGTTGAACCGAGAACCGGGATCATATATATATATATATATATATATATATATATATATATATATATATATATATATATATATATATATATATATATATATATATATATATATATATACATATCATTATTGTATATAGATATATAGATATAGATTGCAGTTGTGAAATTCCCAGACCCGTAAGTAGTCGGGGGCATGTACAGCTGGGTCACAACCTCTGTTGTACTGATGAGGCATTGGACTCAAGCTTAAGGCGAGGAGTTCTTTAGGGCCTCACGACTTTCGCAGTTCGAAGTTTGCATAGCAGGCAGCAGATCGATGTCTTGTGTGTGCGGTTGAAAAAGGTGAGTTGTAGCGTCAGACTCCTCATGGTCGTGAGCTGGTACTCGTTGTGACAACGGAGTTCCTATACAGGCGAAGAGGAATGGACCCTGGAGCAGCTCTTTCAACCAACCCCAATCAAGATGATCTTCCTGGTTACGGATCTACAACTTCGAACCCCAACTCTCATGATCAACAGGTTATGGGAGCCCAATCCACCGCTACCGCTACGCCCAGTGTTGTTGAGAATCCTGGTGATGGGTTTGCAAGACCTCGGGGGTTTCTGGACTTGGATGATGAAACAGTGAGTAGGCCTCAGGAAATGGGCCCTGGGATAGAAGAGTTGCCAGCGGATGGTGGCTTGAGACACCCAGGGGCGCAGTTGAATGGGGAGGCTCCTGTTCGTCCAAAGCAAGGAACCAGAGCTCAGAGGGTCGGAAGCTTGTTGTCAGGGGTCTCTGCAGCAGTACAAGGAGTGGTGAAAGCGTCTTCAGAGGTGAGGTCGCTTGGATCAATGGCCGGCGGAGGACCCGGATCAGCAGGCACAGAGGCTACAGTGAGGACCACCGGAACGGGTTTCGCGACGGCGTCTGAAGGAGATGGAGGGTTGCTTCGAGAAGCAACCATTGATCAGGATCCCACGGAGCCCCTATTCTCCGCAGAACAAGCTGAAAGGTTGGAGACGTTGGCCAAGGCTGCCCCTCTGATATTTCCGGAGGCGCAGAGTGCGCCAGAGCTGCCGCATTCAGTGAGTTCTGGGTCCGGGGATGCTATCCAACTGGAAGTCCGTCGTCAACTGCAGCAGTTTGTGGTTGTACAGTCTGAGATGGAGCGTAGGATAGTAGCCTTGCAAAGAGAGAATGAGATGCTTCGTAGGGAGACGTCTGCGGGACCAGGGATGGACCAGGGAGTACGAGGTTGGCTAGGAGGTATTAGTAAGAGTCTAATGGGGCTCGTTCATGTACCGGCAAAGGCGTCGCACCCCTCGTTTGTCACAGCCAGCGCTGTAACTACTGTGTCGCAAGTAGCAGGAAGTCCTGGGGGTTCTTCTTACAATATACCGCAGTACCAGGTGCCGACAGGTGTGCTACTTCAAGGTCAGGCCGCAGGTCAGGTGCCCGCAGGCGTGCCGCAGATGCAAGGTCAAGCCGCAGGTCAGGTGCCCGCAGGCGTGACACAGATGCAAGGTCAGGCTGCAGGTCAGGTGCCCGCAGGCGTGCCTCAGATGCAAGGTCAGGCCGCAGGTCAGGTGCCCGCAGGCGTGACGCAGATGCAAGGTCAGGCCGCAGGTCAGGTGCCCGCAGGCGTGACGCAGATGCAAGGTCAGGCCGCAGGTCAGGTGCCCGCAGGCGTGACGCAAATGCAAGGTCAGGCTGCAGGTCAGGTGCCCGCAGGTGTGCCGCAGATGCAAGGTCAGGCTGCAGGTCAGACGCCCGCAGGTGTGCACAGTGTAGGTTCAGCCCCAGGACAGGTGCCCACAGGCGTACCGCAAGGCTCAGGTCAGGCTGGAGGTCCACCAACAGCCGGGGTAATGCCAGGCAACAGTTGTCCTCAGTTGAGTGCGAGTGCGGGGGTGTTTCCTGGGATAGGTCAGCCTTCAACAAATGTGCCTACCGTAACGCCTCAGACTCCCTATGACGCCATGATGAGCGGTATAGTCCAACTCCAAGGTTTGATGGCTACTCTAGCAGCGAAACCTACGGGAACAGGGTCAGGAGGAGTTCCGGCGCCACCGGAAGTGGTGCGTCCTGGTGTGACGGAGATCGCCAAACTCCCGAGCGCTACCCCAGAAGCAGCGCTGCAATTTTCGGATTGGGTGCACTCTGTCAGACCCAGCATGTCAGATCTTTCCGATACGTCCTCCGTGTGTTGGGAGACTGTGCTCGCAGAGGCACAGAAGTGGTATGGATCCGCTTTTGTTCCTGCCACACCGGTTCAAAGGCTGCGACTTCGACTCCCTACGTCGATTGTCGACTCGGAGCCCCGATGGTCCAGGGTGCGCCATCGCATGGAACATCTCGTCCTCCAGGCGTGTCCGGAGGCGGTTCGGGAAGAACTCTCCAGTGCACGAATCTCAGGATTGTTGCACGTTTTATGCCGGCTCCACGTAATATATAAGCCGGGCGGGCTTTCAGAAAGGACGGAGGCTTTGCGCCAAGTGCAGTCACCAAAGGCGGCGGACTCGGCGGTGGACGCGGTGTTGAAGTTGCGAACTTGGAGACGCTGGTTGACCAGGCTAGGGGATCTAGGAGGTTCGAAGCCGGACCCAGCGATGCAGATCCAAGCGCTGGAAACCATAACCGGCGCCGTCCTGAAGTCGATGAGCACCGTCAACTTCCGTGTCAATTTGGTGCGCGCGTCACTTCAGCTGGATACTCAGCCGACCAATGAGAGGGTCGAGGAGTTCTTCGAGCATATCCTTGCGGAGCTCGAAAGTGCTTCGCGAGTGTCAGAAGCGTCCAAGGAAGGCAAGGACCGAGGCCAGGTGAGGCAAGTTGATGCCAAGGCAGGTCAGACCACAGGTGCAGATCCAGGCACAGGGCCCAAGACTGGTCAGCCTAAGCCGTCTGTAACCCCCTCCGCTGGAGGAGCTGATGCACCTAAGAGGTTGTGTAAGTGGTTTCACGAGGGCAAGGGATGCAGGAAGGGAGCAGACTGCGCGTTTCCTCATGAGTGGAACTCCATCCCAAAAGACCAGCGTGCAGACCGTTGCATGAGGTGCGGCGGTAAGGGTCATAGGAAGGATAGTTGCACCGTCCCTTCGGGTTCCCCTAAGTCCCGTCCAGAAGCCTCAGCACCGAAGGCTAGCCCAAAGGACGCAGCTCCACGGAAGAGTGGGGATCCAGGACTAAAGAAGGTGTTGTCGGAGGCGGCCAGCGTGTTGAAAGAGGCGCTCAGAAGCACTGCCGGCGATGCCGATTCTCAAGCCGAATCTTCCTCTGGACCTACGGGCAAGGCTGCGTCTCCTTCCGGAGAGTCACCTTCAGCAGCGGCGCGAGCGGCCGCGGATCCTCCTGTTATGGCTACCGCAGCCAAGATTGAAGCCCAGCTTCAAGACTTGGAAGCACGTGTGAGGGACGGAGCTCGCATTCGAGCTGTGGCTACCGATGAGGTCACTGAAGACCTCGAACCTACAGCACTCCTCGATTCAGGAGCTACGCACACTGTGCTCGATCCCACGGCTGTAAGCACAGGTGACCTTGCGCCATGTATGGTGTCCCTGGCAGGAGACCAGAAGCAGATGTGGAAGCAGACCCCTGGAGGGTCTTTGGTTGCACCTCGAAAAGATGAAGGCGGAGAAACCCAGACGATCTTGCCCCTGGGTTCGCTCATCGAGCAGTTGGGCTGCAGCATCCGATGGACACGCAAAGGTGGTCTTCAGCTGACTCACCCCAAGTTGGGAAAGTTGAAGACTAGCATTCGCAGCGGATGCCCGCAGATATGCAAACGTCAGGCCCTTCAGCTGGTGCGTGAGTTAGAGGGTGCACATGTGGGAGATCTAGAGGGTCGGCTTCGTCGGATACAGTCGCGTTTGGCAGCTCAGACTGAGCGAGAGCTCCACTCGATTCTCGATGAGTTTGTTGGGGCTGGGACCCAGGTTGCTGCGCAGGCTTTGGCTGAGAGGTTGCCTTTCTTGCAGGCCTTGCCAACTAGAGTCACCGGCAGACTGGCGGTGGGCTTGGATGGGGTGAATGGTTGGGAGTTGATGCAGGCGTTCCCTCTCAATCGGCGCCAGCGCAAGAAGTTGCACAGCTCCACGTCTTGGGTGTTGAGCTTTTGCAGTGGGAAAGGAGATCCGCGTTTGAAGGCCCAGTGCCAAGCAGCAGGGTATGACTTGGTAGAGATAGACTTGGTCCGCTCTAAGGGTTGGGACCTCACTTCTGAGGGAGTTTGGAAGGCTATCTCGTGGGCCTCCTACACCGGGCGAGTGGCCGCAGTGCTGGCAGACCCACCTATGAGGTCCTGGGCCCCCATGCAAACAGGCGAAGACCAGACAACCCGAGTCCGTACCAGAGAATACCCATGGGGTGTAGACGGACTTAAGGAGTCGGTCCGAGCCCGTGTGGACAATGATACCCTGCTTGGCATTCAACCGCTTTGGGCGTGGACCCTTGCTTCGATCTCCAAGGGAGTCGGAATTCCTCTGTGCTATACCTCAGGCGACTCAGGAGGAGAGGAGGTGCAAGCGTGGGATGAGTTGGTTGTGAAGCCCTTTGCCATGTGGAGCAACTGCTCTTGCAGAGCCGTGCCATGGACGCTGGAGGAGCACAAGTGGACCAAGCCGATGAAGGTTTGTAGTAACCTAGGGCTGAATAATGAAGGTTTAGCTCGGTTGGGTACCCAGGCGTCCAAGCCAGAGGTGTGTGTGGCCCGATGGCCTGAAGGTTTCCGGAGGCAGGTGACAAGGTCCCTTTTCAACCCAGGCGTTGCCCAAGGAAGCACCGATGAGCCAAGAGTCCGAGTGGTTGAGCAAGGTGAAGGCGTCGCGCAAACAGGGGAAGCCCAGTCAGATGATGAGCTTCTCAAGGAGCTGCAGGCCATCCCGTTGGAAGGCGATGAGACAGCCCGTGATGACTCAGGGCCCGCAGCAAGTGCTACAAAGAATGAAGATAGCCGAAGCACCGGCCAGGGCAAGCCCGAGGCACTCTCAGGGCCTCAGCGTGAGGAATGGAGACAGCACGTGCGAGCCCACCACATCCCGTTTCGAAAGGATTGCTTGCAGTGTGTCATGAGTGGATCGTTGGGGCTGCAGCATCGTCGCTCCAAGTGCCCTCATATGTACGCTTTAAGCTTCGACCTAGCCGGTCCCTTTAAAGAACTAGGGAAGGATGACCGAGGGGGTAAGTACCGGTATGCTATGGTTGCTGGTTTGCGGGTCCCGTGTGAAGCCTTGCCAATCCAGAAGAAGGGCCGCAGGACGACGAAGTCAGATCCCGTCGTTGCCGCAGATGATTCCGAGGCAAGGCACAGTGGCCCAGCCGAACCTTCAGCTACGCAAAACGGCAAAGGAGCCGCAGACGAGGAGGAGGAAACTAGGTCTGTTGCTAGCCTGTTCGACCCCTCAGATTACGACCCGGAGGAATTTCCGGACGATCCTCAAGATCACGAGGAGCCTCCTCGTGCCGAGAGCGAGGAGGAGGACCCATGGGAAGACCGTAGCGGGGTGGCCAAGTTGAGCGATGAAGAGTTTGACCAAGAGGTTTCGCAGATGGTTTTCTCGGGGGATAATCGGGTACTAAGGTTCGTAGTGCCCATGAAGGGAAGGAGCGGCGCGCACATTCTGCCCGCCTTGCAGGAAGTGATCACAGAATGTCACCGCTTGGGATATCCTGTGAAAGTGGCGCACACCGACCGTGCGCGTGAGGCCGTGTCAAAGGCCACAACGGATTGGTTGCAGTCGCAGCTGATTCAGCCGTCCTTCACCCAAGGGGACGATCCTAAGGCAAATGGGCTTGCAGAGCGACTGGTAGGCTGGGTGAAGACTAGAGCCCGGTTACACCTTTCGGCTTCGGGTTTAGGCCTAGAGCATTGGCCCACCGCAATGGCACTTGCGTGTGCGCAGCAGCGTCATGAGGTCTTAGGTTTGCCAGGCAGAGTTCACCAGTATGGGCAGAGAGTGGTGTTCAAGTCAAAGCACCCTACCGGGGAATCGAAAAAGCCATTCTTGAGGTGGGAGTACGGAACTTACTTGTGCCCGTGCACCCGGACAGACAAAGGTCATGTGCTTTTGCGTGAGTCTTCCGGAGGATACCTCATAGCAAGGAATGTGAGGCCTACCGATGAGTTGGTTGATCCAGAAAATGACCTGGGTGAAGCCCCTCCGTTAGAGGCACAGATTGAGGAGGAGCCCGCGGAGTCTACTCAAGTGGTTCATAGGAGAGTCACTGGGAAGAAAACCGTAAAGGTAGTCACCCTAGCCTCCGAAAAGCTTGCAACCGAGCTTATGGAACAGGGAGACTACAGTCACGATGCCTGCAGTAGGCTGTTGAGCGCAGCGTTTGGCAGCGCGGTCAACCATTCCCGAAGGTCACACCGGGGATCGGTTAGCTTTTCGGTGGTGCTGGGAGCTTATGGGCATGGAGGGTTACGAGGAGTGACTAAGGCCACCTACGTGCACCCACAGTTGTGCAGGTACATCAATGCCTACCTGTCAAAGGGTTCCCAGCCCTTGGACCATCGACCGTCATGGTCGGCAGTGACCATTGTGCAAGCAGATGAGGTGAATGTGCACCGGGACTCCAGAAATGAGCCTGAGTCGATGAACTACGTGTCGACCGTTGCGGATAGAACTATATGGGTGAGCGAACAAGCAACAGCCTCCGTGCGAGGAGGAGTGCAAGTAGAGACCGGACGACTAGTCAAGGTGAGCGATGAGAGGGAAGAGCCGGGCAACGACTACCAACTTGGAGTCGGCGTCGTCTCTTTCGACCCTAAGTTTCGCCACGCATTGACCCCAGCAACCAATTGGGTTATAGCTGGGTATAGTCCCCTGGGAACCCGTAAGCTCGCCAGTGATGCTGTTGCAGACCTGAAGGAGTTTGGGTTTAATCTTCCGCATGAAGGTGATGTGAACCCCCCAAGGGTGTGTAAGCTAGTAGGCCCGAACCCGCAACGAATGCCAATGCCTGCCCATCGAAGGCAAAGGCGCACTCCCGTGCAAACCAGGTATCTGAATGTGAGGTTTGCAAGAATCCCGCCTGAAGAGTGGAGGGTGTTGTGCGAGCTTGAGGAGGAGCAGTTCGAGCGGAGAATGGAGCGTTGGACACGAGTGCTCAGTGGGTCCGATGAAGTGAACATGAGTCAACTGTCGGCCGCAATTCCGCGAGGCCTAATGGTGGGCACATTGAGGGATGGACGCCAGTGGGATGACGATCCAATCTTAGAGTACCGTCTGCCCAATGGGCAAACGGTGCCTCTGGCACGTGTGTTCCAGTACACTGATGACAACAACATGTATGTGGATGATTCACCCTTCCCAGACCGACTGATGATGTTCGACATTCTAGACCTCCAAAGGGATATTCGAGAGGTGGTTGTCATTCGGGTTCTGGTAGAAGAAGTGCATGCCGAACCAGCGGTGGAAATGGAAAGGGTGATGCAGGAGCCAGGTCCTAGCCCACCAGAGATTATGGCCGTTCAAGGCCCGAGTGCACCATCTACTCCTCCAGTGACACCAATGCCACCTGCGGCTGGTGTTCCTCGGCAGCTTCCAGTCCCGTTGCCGAATCCAACGGCTCTTGTTTCCCGAATCAGCGGGAACTATGTAGACAATCCTCATCCTCAGGAGGAGTTGTCGGTCCGAAAGGCAGAGGTGGCAACGACCCCCAACTCGGAGCAGCTGTTGGAGACTTTGGTAGAACCACTTAGTGTCACCCACACCGCTTCGCAAGGGGAAGTGAGACAGAACCTCACGCGATGGCGAGCCGCCATTCAAAAGGAGCTCGACACTCTCAAGGGAGGAGGAGTTCTCCAGAGCCACGTGGGCGAAGAAGCTCGGAAGCTTCTTTCAAGTGCAGAAGCCACGGTGATCCCTCTGAAAGGGGTCTTCACAGCAAAGGCCCCGGCAGCGGGGTCGCAAGATCTGTTCAAAAGAAAATGCCGCTTGGTGGCATGTGGCAACCAAGCACCCTACAACGACGCAGAGTCGCTCTATGCCAGTGGTGCCCCGGCAGAGCTGGTCAGAGCAGCGCTCGTCAGAGCCAGCGGGTTCCAATGGGGCGCTTTCACTTGTGACATCCGTTCAGCCTTTACGCTAACACCCATCCCGCCAGAAGCAGGCAGAAGGTACGTGCTCAGGCCACCGCGATGGCTTATTGAGTTGGGTTTAGCACAGGAGGGCGAATGCTACACGTTGGGAAAAGTGCTGTATGGATTCAGAGAGTCGCCGGTGTGGTGGTCTACCTACAGGGACGAGGTTCTTCGCAGCGCTACGTTTGACGGATGTGAGCTGGTGCAGGGAAGTTCTGACCCCAGCATCTGGAGAATCCAAAAAGGGAATGAGCTGAAGGGCTACTTGATCACCTATGTGGATGATTTCTTGGTGTTGGGAGAATCTTCAACGGCACACGCCTTCCACCGGTGGATACTGGATACTGCAAAGTGGGAAACAGATGGACTCTCCGAAGCCCGGGAAGGTTCCCCGGTGAGGTTTCTGGGAATGCAGTTGGAAAAGTGTGCCGATGGCGCCTTCACTTTGGATCAAGAAGCCTACGTGGATGAGATCATACGAGCTCATGGGCTCGCGCCGTCAATGAGGTCCAAGATCACCTGCCCCAAAGAGGTGATGTTTGGTGATGAAGAAAGACCCAGCGATGCGGACGATCCCGAGGGCGACGCCTTGAGTGAGGAGCAAGCCGTGAAGCTTGCCCAAAGGATGGCAGGCGAATGCCTTTGGTTGTCGCAACGGACAAGAGTGGATATAGCATTCACTACTTCGATGATGTGTTCAATGGTGGCAACAGAACCGCGCAAGGCTGTGGCGATCGGAAAGAGGTTGCTCATGTACTTGGCACAGACGAAGGAGTACCGGTTGCGACTACACTCCAAGGATGATGTTGCAGCTTTACGCATCTATACGGATGCGTCGTTCTCGCCGGAGGGGAAGCATTCGTATGGTGGGCACATCCTGGAATTCCAGGGTAGCCCGGTGGTCTGGCGAGCAGGAAGGCAGCAGATCATAGCGATGAGCTCGGCAGAATCAGAGTTGATCCAAGTCGTGGAGGGAGCGATCTACGGAGAGTCGTTCATGGCATTGCTCAAGGATCTGGGTGTTACCTGCACCGGAGCCGCAGTAGAAGTCGATAACACCGCAGCTATCTCGCTGGTGAAAGGGGGCTGTTCTCAGAGGACACGTCACTTGAAGGTGAGGGCTTCAAAGCTCAACCAGTTGCTGCAGGAGGGCTGGACTCTGGAGCATTGCCAAGGAGTGTACCAGAAAGCCGATATCCTTACCAAGCCGTTGCCGTCAGCCAGGCTAAGGTTTCTGTGCGACCTTTTGGGTTTAGGTCCAACCACACCCCCTAACGCAGAGCCGAAGGAGCGAAAGGTAGAAGGGTTTGGAAAGGTTTTTAAAGTCTGCCTTTTGGGTGTAGTCACTTCGTTGCAGAGCGTAGTGTGCAAGGGACAGGAGGATGAGTCAACCGAGCTACAGGTCGACTACCCTTGGGAACTGCTTTTGGCTACTCTCCTGATCGTCCTATCCACCGTGTGTCTGTGGGAAACTTTGCGAGGGAGGATTCCCGCTAGACAAGTCGAAGGCACAGGCGAGGGACCCAAGGTCAGAGCTGTTTCGGTCTCTAAGGAGAAGCGATCAAGGCGGCTACAGGAGAGGGTCCAAGCAGCAATCGCGAGCGCCGTAAGCGAAACCAGTCCTTCCGGAGCCAGCGACGCCGGGGGAGGAACAAGGCGAGGCAGGAACAAGTGCCCGTTAGAGCAGCAGGCGAGTGAGCGCCTGCCGTCAAGTCCTCTGATTCAGGCTGGAGTGGTGCATGTTCACAACCCAGCAGACCCCAGAACGGACGCTAATGCAACCCAATATGCCTACCACGAGGAGCGTCCAAGCTCTTCCACTGCCGTTCCAGTGGGAATCCCATATCCACCTCCAGGCATCACTGCTCAATTGCCGCCTGAAGCCTACCGCGCAGCGAACCACAGTCCGCCAGGGACCGGTCAGGGAGTGCGCACGGAAGGTACACAGCCGGCGTCGAGTCATGCAGCGTTGCCCCAGGTTTCAGGGTCAAGTGGTATCCCAGGTCCATCACAGTCCCAGAAAGTTTCACAGATTACACAAACAGACCCAGTAGTGATTTTGGGCCCGGAGTCTTCAGTGTACCTATCAGCCGGTGGTCACTGCGTTCATTGTGAGATTGGTTGTAGGGGTCTGAGGAATGTGGGCCACATACACACGAAGAACGTGTGTCAGTATTGCCTGAGGAAAGCAGGTCCTCGGAGCGGTTTTTGAGTGATGCGGGGCTTGCGCCTGCATCAAGGAGGAGTGTGAAATTCCCAGACCCGTAAGTAGTCGGGGGCATGTACAGCTGGGTCACAACCTCTGTTGTACTGATGAGGCATTGGACTCAAGCTTAAGGCGAGGAGTTCTTTAGGGCCTCACGACTTTCGCAGTTCGAAGTTTGCATAGCAGGCAGCAGATCGATGTCTTGTGTGTGCGGTTGAAAAAGGTGAGTTGTAGCGTCAGACTCCTCATGGTCGTGAGCTGGTACTCGTTGTGACAACGGAGTTCCTATACAGGCGAAGAGGAATGGACCCTGGAGCAGCTCTTTCAACCAACCCCAATCAAGATGATCTTCCTGGTTACGGATCTACAACTTCGAACCCCAACTCTCATGATCAACAGCAGTAATGACTATATGAATCCCTGAAGTGCCGGACGGCGATCAAGAGCAGAGGTGCGAGAGACAAGCACTCGGGGCAGGAGGAGGGCTCCAAGACCACACCGGAGCAGGACGAAGCGGATGCTTTGCTCAAGGCCCGCGGGATCCACCTGACTCTCCAGATAGCGGGCCAGATGCCTTCGGTGTGCTTCTTAAACAGACTTTTTTCAAGACCCGGACTTGCGGCACAAGCCTTTGCACGGCAGGCCAAAGCGACAGCTTGTCCTTAAAACGCGCAAGAGCAAAGGAACGAAGCAGAGCATGTCTGTTGCTTTAGGAGGGTGTGCCGTGGTCTGGTCTTCCCACAGCAGGGCATTCCACAGCCATTTTCGACGTATTCAGCAAGCCGTGGGCGGACACGATTATTCGCATAGCGCTCTTACTTGCTTGGATCTCTGTGCACGTTGGTTTTGCTTCGTATGCACCCGTGAGCATCAGTCGGACTTCCCCGTGTTGACTATGCCCCGGCGCCCACCAGCTGATGCCGTTTATGCTCATGCTTGCCGTCTGCTGAAGCACGATGCTTGCCCGGCAGTCTGTTGAACCTTGTACAATGCTGTACTCCAGCTGATTCGAATGATGCGCACGTTGCGGCATCATGGACTTGTTGATGGAAACATTGGGTCGCTCGAATCCCGCAGCAATCTCAGAGCTTCCACCATCATCATCCTGGTCGAAGCCATGGGCTGCCGAACGTCGCGCGCAGTCTCTGCACAAGGTGCGGCTTCTGTTGCTCGCCAGTCTGGCAAGGGGAAAAGCCGCTGTGCGTCTTGTGGAGGTCCGCAGCACTACGACAAGGCTTGGCCTGGCTCTGTCAGGTTGCTATGCTGCTATATAATTAGTACATATAAGGGTTTAGTTAGCTCTTACCGGTTCGTACAGTACCGAAGGAAAGCTTGACAGGTGTTGCCGGAACCGCTGGCTGCAATAGACGAGGTCCACGGGTAGGAACGGGTAGCTTAACAGATGGACCTCGCTTGCGCCTTCATCTGTGTCAGGTTGCTCAGGGGGAAGATCTGGAACTGGGTCCGGAAGCGCTTCCGGCAGCGTCACGGCCTCATAATTGCATAAGGTCCTGCATCTGCAGCCCAGTCACTGGATTTGGGATGTCTTTGCATGTTCGCCCAGGACCCTCCTGACATCCAAGTGTTTGCAGCAGGTAGAGGAGGCTATGGATAAAAAGCATCATCATGAGGCGCTGCTTGCATTCTTTCTTGTCCTGTAGCCTACTTGGTGCTTCTTCCCTTCTAATCCTAATCATAGGAAACATCCCCGTCGGCGCACACGGGAAGAAGTGCTTCAACGAAAGCTGATCGGCCATGGTCTCAAATTTTGGCGTCTTGTTGTTCTTGTACTCCTTGCACGTGCTGGGAGTTCGGAGCGCTCCCACAAGCTGTCTTTGCAGAGCAGATGCCTCATCAGGCCGTTCGTTTACTGTGGAGTGGATGTGCAACCGGCCCTCCCAGTGGTCGTGGCCTCAAGACTCACGGCGCCTTTGTGCTGTGGTGGGCGGGCGTGGCGGCCCTGAAGAAAGACTTCGTTTCGCTGAGCAGGTGCCTGAGGGTATTTGGGCGCCGTAGATTGGATTGGGCACTGACTCCGTGCTCCCAGCATGCTCGTGTGCTGTTGAGGTCTTTGCTTCCGCATTCACGCTCTTCGTGCTGAAGTCCCACATGGCCGGCTCAGCACTTGGCTAAACGTTTGAAGATGCCCCGGAAGCCGAGGTAATGGCGGGCATGTTTGGTCTTTTGTCGCTGACCGCCCATGCTTGCATAGCGTGCCCTTCTTGTGCTTCAAGGGCCGGAACCGTGCCGAGCCTTTTGTCTCCGTTCGGTGAGGTACTGTGCCTCATCAGACCCAGGGCAGATGGCGGAGGATCCTTTGGAGCAGGTCGTTACGCTGCAGCCTGCCTTTTCATCCTTTAGGGACTTTACAGATCTGGCACGCTTCGACAGGGTGGGGCGCTTCCACCACGGGCTCACAAGCTGGGGCCCCAGTCTGGTCTTGAAGGAAAGCTGCATCTGTCATCCCGTGAAGATGAGGTCATGGTTGTATCCGAAACCAATCCTCCGGCATGATCATTATTGCAACCTGGCAGCACGAAGCCCCGTGATCTGTCTCACGAGATGCTATGTGCTTTTGGGAGTTTAGTGAGATTGGTGCCGGTCCAGCCTAGCACCTGTGTTGCACGCCTGTGAGTGTCTCCTGATCTTGCCCAAGGCCGATGGCTTCACAATGTCATCGGCTGGGTGCTCTGAATGTCATTGGCATTTTCACTACACCGTAACTTGTCCCCGCCCAGGCCTCAGAAACCATCGTGCCTTTATTGCGATGCTGGTGAGCCGTGCCCCCAGCCACCGTGTGAAGCCATGCACTCTTGTTTGGTGGAGATGGTCGGGCATGGTCGACCTTTATGTCACTTGCGGTCCAGGTTTGGCCATGCTCGTCATGCCGGGGCCTAGAGAGCTTCAGATTGTCGAGGGTGACAGGAGGGCATTGAATGTGGATAGCTTTCGATTTTTGTTGGTGCTTGCAGGGCAGGCTTGCTGGCCGACGCCTGGTTTCTCTTCAGCATGCTGCACAAGGCGGTAGTGGGTTTCTCACAGGACAAAACCTGTAAGAACTTCCGCCAAGAATAATGCTTATCATGTACGTCGCGATGCATGCCGTAGTTTCGGATATAGGAAAACCTTCAACTCTCCCCACAAGCGGACTCTCGACTCGAAGATATTGACAGATCGCATCCGGTGGCTGTTGCAGGGCATCCGAGCCTGGCCGATCGAGGCACTGTGTCTGCTCCGGCCACAGTCCTGACGTGAGGGTTTCTGCTTTGTGGGTTATGGTTTCGCATTTAGGGTGGCACTGTCATCCACGAAGACCAGCTACTCTTGCTGTCTGCCAGATGGCAAGGGGTGCTTCCCCCTTGTCATCTTAAAGATGCTTACCTGCTGGCCGAGGCTGCATGTGGGCTTCTCTTTGCTCTTCCTGCGGCTGGAGTTGCCGGGTGCTTTATGAACCCAGTAGAGCTGACCATGTTGGCAATCTGTGCGGTTGTTGCAGGCAAATCCTTCGGATCCAGGTGGGCCTCGTGTCCAGGCGGGGCTCTGGGATTGAAACGACGAGCTTGCGGGCCGAACCCCGGCCAGGAACGAGCTGAACTCGGAGTGGAAGGAAGATTTCTTCTGGACTGCATCCCACTGAGGGGGTCAAGAAAGATTGGGCAAGTACCCATAATTGTGGGGCGTTCGAGCGTGGCTCCTCCAAGGCTCCGAGTGGTGTGCCAGCCAAGGAGCTGGATGTCGAAGAGTGCCCAGATACCACGTCAATTTTGGAGTCAGAGCTTGTCAGCGTATGTTTGGGACAGCATTCACGTGCGTGTGAGACATTTCTCGAACTTACCAAAGGTGCAATGAACTCTTGGACGTAGAGGCTCTGGTCTACGATGCATCGAGGCATTGATGGCCGGACGTGAGTCTGCTTCGAAAGCGTGCTTCTCCGCTGAGCAGGAACGAATTCGACAACGGGTGCCTCAACAACTGCTGGGTTTTCTGGTGCCGCTCGCGCTCCGCTTGTGCCTCAAAGCTGCAACCTCCCTGCTGTTCCCTCGTCCCTGGCTCTAGCTCAGGAGACTTCTGGCGACTGGTGAGTTGCGTGCATTGCCCAACATGGGCGTGCTATCTCACGAGTAGTTGGTGAACAATGCTACGTGGTCCTGGCGTGCTGGCCATTCTTCAACTGTGGATGTTTGGCTTTACGCCAGCACCGAGGAAGCAGCCTGCAAAAGTTGTGCCACATGCGGCAAAGGCTCATTGTCTGCACGTTGATTGATTTAGTATGATTTGGTTCAGATGGCTGTTAGTTGAAGCTGCTTTCAGTATCAGCTGGCCTGTTTTGCGCCTTCTCGGAGTGTTGAACATCAATGGCTCCGAATACGTGGTGCGTTTCTTCCCGGCTGCGGCGTCATCGTGCAGCCACTTCCCAAGCACGACGCCGATGGCTGAACTGCATATCTGCTCTCGGGCTGAAACACAGGTTGCTATTTCTTTGCGCATTCAATCTCGGAATCTACTCTGCAGTGTTTCTGCTGGGAGTTTGCAGTGGAGAGCAGCCTCTGCCAGCTGGCAATGTGCAGCTGGCACTAAGACAGTGCTGCTGCCGGTTTCACTACGACCGCGATGGCTGAAGCTTCACAGGTAGTTGGGGAACTTCTGAGCCCTGCCGAAGGATGAATCCCAATAGACACCGTCGAACTGATGCCCAACGCTTGCTGAAAAGACAGCTTCGAGCTTCCGACTCTATGCAGGTCATGCTCGGACCCGGACCTTCGATCCAGGACTGCATTTCGCCTGCAGCGGAGGCTTCCGGTGCTGGGGACAGCTGACACTTCCACTTCGTTTTGGACTGAAGCACGGCATACAAATGACATGCACAGTGTTGCGAGAGCATTGCATGACTCAGTATGCAGTTGAGATATAGAAGATTGTAAATCCGAAGAGGCTTGGCATGTAGCAGCCCCAGTGGCAACGTTGGGACAAGGTCTTGCCTTCTCGACAGGCGCCGAAGATGCCGCATTCTTGGCACAGAACCTGGTCACCGAAAACCCCCAGATGGTTGCGCGGAGTTGCCGCTTGGACGAAACTTAAGTCAGATCACAATGAACTCAGCTGCACGGCCCTACACATGCCAGAGCTTGCATGTCCTAGCAACGGCCGGTTGCGCTGTAGTAACTGCCGGGTCAGACAGAAGTTGCGATCAGCAGCTGTTAGACAGCATCCTGACATCACCTAGCCAAGCTTGAAGTATCACGCAGTCGTCTGCGTGTTCGTAGCAGGACCACGCATATCTGCATTACTCGTACATATATGAAAAGAATCGTCATCTTTCACGCTGACTAGATCATCGATTATGACCATGCTGCATGCTGGTGTGCATTCGAGATAACCTCTAGCAGCAAGACCAATGACAACGTTGCCCTTCCAATGCCTCTCCCAGAAGCCCAGATCCCAGCAGCACCATCAGCATGAGCCCCACACGTGCAGACAGCTGTGCCGATGACAGCCACCGGAGCCATGGAGAGAATCTTACTGATCTCCTTGGGCTCCCGAGGGGACATGGAGCCCTTCCTTGCCATAGGCGAAGAGCTGCAAATGGCTGGTCATTCTGTGGCCTTCTGCATGCCTGCCCAATTCCAGGGTTTGGCCGAAGAGGTCAGCAAGACCTTCTATGCAATGGACAAGGGATTCCTGGAGCTGGTAGAGAACGAGGATGTCAAGGGGATCATTGCTCAAGTCGGATCGGCTTGGACCAGGCTTCGAACGATGGTCAGACTGATGTGGGAGACCAAACCACTTCAGCAGCAGCTAGTTCGAGATCAGCATGCTGCTGTCGACCACTTCCGGCCTGATCTCATCATCTTCCACGGCAAGTGCATCTATCCCATCCTCGCGGCCCTGGAATATGGGCAACGAGTGAAGATGCTTTGTCCCGTTCCCTGCATGATTCACGCGGTCGACACCGAGCCGAACATCGGTTTCGGAGATCCGGGCTCTGTTTGGTGGAATCGCCTGACATATTTCTTGGCAAACAAGGTCTACATCAGCAAGTCCATTCTGGGCTACGGTGGCCCTGTGGCAAAGAACGAGCTTCAGTTTCGGAACTTGGACTCCTCCCGACTCACTGCATTCATGCTTGAGGAGATGCCAGTGGAGTACGCGATCAGCGAGCGTCTCTTTCCCAGGCCTGAAAGCTGGCCGCCGCACGCTCTGATCACATGCTTCCGAGAGCGGGACAAGGCGAAGCACTGGACTCCACCCACACCGCTTCTCAAGTTCTTGTCGGACTACCCTGAACCCCTCTATGCGGGCTTCGGGAGCATGGTGAACGAAAATCCAGAGCAGGTAGGCCAGATCATCTTGGATGTGACAGCCGAGTTGGACCTTCCTGTGCTTCTCAACACGGGCTGGGGCGGAGGCATCCGAGTTTCGGAAGAACATCTTCCCAGGCATGCTTTCGTAGTCAACGACATCCCCTACGATTGGCTCTTCTCACGCGTGCGTGCAGTCGTTCACCATGGTGGCTCAGGGACCACGCACAGCGCCTTGCGTTTCGACAGGCCGCAGCTGATCGTTCCGCACATTTCAGACCAGTTTCTATGGATGCGCCTCGTTAACCGAGCGGGCTTCGGGCCCATGGGTTTTCCAATCAAAAGCTTCAGCAAGGAGACATTCAGAAAGGCACTCACCGAGCTCTTGAGTCCACAGTACAGGAAGCCGGCATGACAGGCGGATTCCGTCCTGGTCGGTACCCACGGCATCGTCCAGAGTCGTCCAGAGGACGCAGGAGCATTCAAGCAGCGGCCATAGTTCATTCTCAGCTCGGATTTGGAAGCTGCAGCAGTTCGACGACAGCCCGTGGTGCAAGTGCATTGCTTCGAGGACGACCAAGTTTCCCCCGCCTCCAGACACTACCAGCCAAGGTTTGTTCAAGACTTGGGCCCTCAGTGCTAAATCACACCTGAGAAAGAGTGAGAGAAGATGCGTTGATCCACCCCAGGAGCCCTTCGTTGCAGCACGGTCGCAACAATGGCCTCAGCCGTTCTGATAGGCACAAACGCATAGCACCAAACACACACAAACACACACAAACACACACACACAAACGTGTACGTATAACATATGATATATGCGGTAACGACATGTAACATAGTCAAAGATGCTCATACCTTCTAAAATCACGTAATATGGTACTGTATGGTACAATATCATGTATAGCATGTTACGACATAGCATAATGCATAACATAACATATTGCAACATGAAATAAGTGTAAACAAGACCTTGTAGAATATGATAAAATAAGTCCCAAAATGCAGTGGAACCTATTAAATACTAAATTGATATGCCACATACCACAACGACATGTGAGAATGACATCATGCAGTGCGATGAAATATGATGCAACACAACATACTTACATACATACATATATATATATATATATATATATATATGGTACCCCCCATACCTACATATGTACAGATATCTACATGTGTGTACATGTATACACATAGTGTTTATTACTTGTATAGACCTGTCGGATCTGACATAATTGTTGAACCTACGCTAGTGTACTATACGATAGTGTAGGTATAGTACAGTAACATATATGACAATACAACCGAAATGCCATCTTTGAGTATATAAGCAACACAAGACCATAATGCAACATACACTAGCGAACTTGATAACGGACAGCTTCACATTCGTTCCTCCGAAAGAGCTCAGGATCGATGGCAGCATTTTGGGGGGGGGACCGGGACTTGGCAGGAGGTCTTCAGCGAGGCGTGGCTCCTGGGCAAACTAAATACGTGGTCAGAAGCGCCATAGATCAGAGGTGTTCCCCCTTTCAGCACCGACGAAGGAAGAGTCGGGTAGACAAGCTCTGCATTGCAATTGCACACGAGCGGAATAGAGTAGTAGTCTCGCTAAGGCTCAACTAGAATGATATTCTTCTTATGTGGGCCGTCGCTTGGCACCATAAGCAAGGCCCGACAGCACGATCCGCCAGAGATCCTGGGCCCTTCAGTTGACACATCAGGCTCAACCAGACCTGCGGCAGCCGGCCGGGAAATTTGTCCGCCCTGTCGAGGTGGGCATCCGAGGGCACATGTTGCAAGTTGCACAACATCTGCGACTTCGCATTCAAAGTCAAGCAGAAGGTTCTCGTACACATGCTGTAGCAGTAGCAACAAGCAGCAATCCACTCCCGTGACTGTCCCCGACATTCTCATTCACCGTTGAGCGAGAGCCCCCTGTGAGGGAATCGCAAGCAGTGCGCCTGAAACCATGCCCCGCTGGCGAGCGACGGAGCAGCTACACGGGCACCTTCCCAAAGCATGGGCAACTGGTTTCCGTAACTAGGACAGGCCACAGTTTAACAGCGCTGGAGTAGCCAGGCTGCCAGGGTGCGGGATCGCAGTGCAGCGTCATGTACGAGCACTAGATGGTAGGTACGAGCCACAGCGTTCCTTCGCCCAATTCCCACGGAACGTAACAGGGACTTCTCTTAGGAGTTCGGCTTGTGGAGTTGGAGATGCAAGATTCCATGGTCTACATCTGCAGAGGTTGCACTCCATTTGAGTCAAATTGAGGGAGCCCGGCTAAGGCACTGATTGCCTTCAGTGCATTCCAGGCAGGTACAAGAGCAACTTGGCAAAGAGAAGAGATTCCTGTGTTTGGTGGGCTTCTATGGGGAGGGCCTGCCACAAGCTTTTGCGAATCGTCAGTTTAGTTTGTCCACTCTGCTGTTGATTCTGCGTTCACTGAGAGCTATGAATGAAAGAAGCCCTTGAGTTCAGTACGGGTGGCGCATGTTCCTTTTCTGCAGGTAGTTAACCATGATCTGTATTGCTACATGCCAAGAGCTCGAGTTTGGATGTTAAATGTAGCAAGCTGGACAGAGGTCAGAGCTGAGCACCCTATCTCAAGAAGATATTGTTAATTAGGCTTCAAGGATGAAGAAGCTAGTTTTTATGTCAGCCAACTCACAGGTTTAGGCCCAATTGTGCATCACGGAGTACGCTCTGTGCTAGTAGCACAATGTAACATTCGACCACTGTCATTAGATCTTGAAATCATCGCCAATACTGATACTCGTGGTTGCTCGCTGGGATGCACTGTCCGGGGAGATTGGATTCTTCGAATTACAGAAATGGGAAGTCGCCTGCTCTCGCCCTGTTTTCCCTCAAGCGTTGAAAGAAATATGAGAGGAGATGACGGCCAGACGCCAGACAGATGATGCTTTCTGGGGTCTTTGTTTCCCTCAAGGTGATGCCCGATCCCCAGTTTTTGGCAAAGACGGAAGCTTGCAAGCTTGCCCCTGGGCCCTGCAACATGTTGGGCTAGGGGGACGCCTAACAATGTATATCGAGGGGGGGGGGTACAGCATTTGAAGAAATACATTTCTCTGGCCCGGGCCAGATAATTCGATTTCGAGGGGGGGCTGATATACATTTCTGCTGGCTGCCAGAAGTCTGCGATGCAACATGTTTCGAAAGCACTATGCCGCTCGCTTCCTTTGGCGCCGAGGTGGCTTGGACAAGTCGTAGCGGTGCATAGCACGACATCAGCAGAACCGGTGCACAACCACTAGTGGACTACTGGCTTTGCCAACAACAACTACTCCACTACTACTCCTACTACTACCACCACCACTACTACGACCACTGCTACAAGGCGGGTTTAGGATTCTGGACCTCCCGGGGGTCGAGATGGGCTGGAATGTCCTTTACCGTAATTATGGCAAAGCATCACTTGCCAACAGCCCACGGGTCACATGGAAGGCAACTTCGTCCGGCAGCACATAGGCATCCAGTGGACAGCCGATCTCTGCAGCTTGTTTCTGCCGCACTATTCCCGAGTACACTTGGCTGAGCGCTGCACCATGCAGCAACAAGTCTCTGAGATGGCCTGGTTTTTTAGGATCCTGGCCCAGCCAAGATCGCAGCCAGGCCCCGGAAGCATCACCCCACCACTGTCGGATGAGAAGGAGACAATGAAACGTGCAGGCTGTGGAACACGCCTCGGGCAGGTCGCTGGAGTTCTGGCTCGCCCCAGACTCCCAGCACTTGCTTCCGCCGTCCTGGAACCAAGCACACGTAATGTATATTTGGGGGGGTCTTGGTCCCAAACCCCCCCAAATATACATTTCAGCCCTGGCTCACTCCCAGGAATGCACGAGGAGGCTTGCAAAACACAGAACACCTCGGAACACTTACTAGAACAGTGCTAGAACTCCATAGACTACTCATTCACCGAGAGCCAGGCACACGTAATGTATATTTGGAGGGGGCTTGGTCCCAACCCCCCCCCAAATATACATTACAGCAGGGTTTGCCAGCCCGAGCTTGTACCCAAGTCCCTATGAATCTGGTTTTTTATGCAAGGTTGGGTAAGAAGAGATGTTGCTCGATCTAGGGTCCTTTTCTGGGAAAGGACCCGCGACTGGTGCCAGAGTGCTGCCAGGCTCACTTACCGACGCTTACGGAGAGCTAGACACGCGTAATGTATATTTCGGGGGGTTCTGATTCTGGTTTCCAAACCCCCCCAAATATACATCCCAGCTGTGGTTCACTCCTGAGAATGCTGACAACACTCTCACAACAAACCGAACGCGCAACCCGACTGCTGCCAGGCTCCTTTGCCGAGAGACTACCGAGAGCTACGCGCACGTAATGTGTATTTCGGGGGGTCTCGTTCCCAAACCCCCGCCAAATATACATTTCGGCCTTGGTTCACTCCTAGGAAAACTCGAGGATTCCCAGACAACTCTCCCCGACCTCGACACATAATATACTCATAGTATCTACACGCTCTCGTAGCTGACTGGGTACAAGACGCAATCGCGGAATGTCCCACTAGTTTTGGTTGTGGATGACGAGACAGAGAAGACATCAACACTACATCAACACTGCTACAGAAGAGTGCTTGCACTGCGCCCAGCCACGCCCAACCGGTCCTGCAGAGCCTGCCACTCATGTTGCCAAATGTGCTCCACCAGCGGTCTGTACCTTGATCTCACCAACAAGGCCATGGGATCCTCGTGGACCAGCTCCATCCGTGACTCCCGTGACAAGCCTGACAACAGCAGTAGTAGTAGTAGTAGTAGTAGTAGTAGCAGCCAAAGACGAACGTGTTACGGTGCTGTGCTGGCTTTGTGGCTGCGGTCCTGGGAACGTCTCAGCATCACCGTGCCGCAGAAACGCGCTGACCTCCTGCAGGAACACCAGCCAGTAGTCCGACTGAGTTTGCCAGTCCAGCCTGCCCGAGCTAGGTTTGCAGCACATGTACAGGATATCATTACGACGGCCCAAACCCGGCCACCAACCCCCCCCTTTCGGCCCGAGAAGGGGGGGTTGCCTCAGAGCCAATTTCTACGGTTCGGGGGGAAAGAATGCCATAAGTGCTGGAGCCAGCTCCAATCTCAGGTCGTGTGCAATTCTTAAGCAGAACACTACCGCACGTGACCCCTGGCACTCCCCTGGCCACCCGCCTGTAGAAGCCAACGTTGCCGGGGAGAAGTTCAGCTTCCAAGTTGTAGCGGCGGTGCGGCAGCAACAGAACTCTAGCCTCCTCTGTCAAGTCTTGCAAGCACCCTGGCATCACGAAGCCAGTGTGAACGAGTGCATGTGAAGCCAGTGTGAAGTTGTGAGAACCTCGAAAACTGTCGCAAACGAGAACCTAGCCAACCCCCTAATATTATACATTCCCCCCGGCCGGTC